TTGTGTTTGGGAAAGGCACAAATTGATGAATTTGGTGATTTTTTTTTTTAGATACACCTTGAGGTAACAAATTGATGATTTTTGTTTTTTTTAAAAATGGTGAATTTCGTTTTTTTTAAAAAAAACTTCAAACATTTTTGGGAGGATTTTCTAGAAAAGGCCCAACTGAAAGGGAAGAAGGGAAGGAAGAAAGTAGTTGGTTTTTGGGTGACTTGGTAGATTTGGTAGTAGATTTGGCAGTTGCAAAATTTGGCAGATGCTATAGCATGCCATTGGAGAAGCCATTTTTGCCTAAGCTGCCATATTATGCCTCTGGTAGTTGATTTATTAGCAATGCATTAGAGATGCTCTAAGGAGAGTGGGTTTGAGAAGTCAAAGAAGGCTGTGTTCCCACTACGTGTCAGAAGAACATGGTTATCGTAAAACATATATTTATGTGATACCTGTATATTGTCACGATCCGCTTTCCGTACCCAAGGGTTAAGCATCGTGATAGCCAGTAACTGAGGTTACCTCTGGCCAATTCTTAAACAAATTAATAAGCACAAGCGGAAATAATATTTAAGTGAGGATACCAAAATAATCATAGGAGCTTCTATTTTTATTACAAAATTTATTAACCAAAAAGGCCGATATTTAGATATAAAATTATCATAAAAGTGTTGTGTGTGTCTATTCTGCAGCCCGCGTCTAAGACTTTTCCAAAAGTTATTTCTGAATTGCATTATTTCCTGAAAATTGGTAAATAGCTATAAACACATGACAGAGTGAGAAATATTATACTAAGAGTATAAGAGACACGAAATAACTATAGATAGTTATGCAACTAAAATATTTCAGATAACTTAGTCTGAACAAATAATCTTTTAAGTAGCAAAACTGAGATTATGTAAATAAATAACCATAATCACAGTACCGAACAGAACAGAATAGAGGTCACAGGAGTGACAGTCAGAACAGAGATACAGATTCAAGAGGTGGCTCGTACAGATTATAGAGGTGGCTCCCACAATAGTGTAGCACTTATCTCCGCACAACATTTTGCTCCGAACATAATATAGGTCAATGGATTCATAACAATATAGAGGTACAGGTTCAAGAGGTGACTCGTATGGATTATAGAGGTGGCTCCCACAATAGTGTAGCATTTATCTCCGTACAGCACAGAACAGAACAAATGCATAGACTCAAGAGGTGGCTCGTACGAACTCTATAAGTGGCTCCCACAATAGTGTAGTACTTAGCTCCCACAATAGTGTAGTACTTAGCTCCATACAACACTTTGCCAGAAATCAGAGGGTCAATAGATCCATGACAACAGAGGGCTACAAAGTGACCAAACAGAAGCCAATTGTTATTTAAATCCCCTAAGGCGTGGGACTCCCGTGATGGTACTTACAAAACATAATTGTTTATAAGGTTATAGTCAAATATTCTTTAAACGTAAAACAAACATATCCATGGGTTTTATTGTAACAAATAGAGTTCAGAAATTAACCCACGTAGTTAAAATATTAATATAATTTATAATAATTTATAAACATAACTTGTATAAAATGAATTATGGTAAATCAAAACATACGTAAAATATATTATGGTAACTCAAGGTATAATATAACTCACCTTAACTTTAATACCTCATTCTTTCTTTCCACTCTCAAGAACCTTCTCGGCTTCCATTATTTTCTTTTCCTTTTCTTCCTTTATTTCCCTTCCTTTCTCTATTCTTTTCCTGTCCTTTCTTTCTTTCTTTCGCTTTCTTTTCTTTCTTTCATTTCTCGGTGAATCACCTCCTATTTATAAGGAGGTAGAAACCTCCCGACGCAATCACGTGGCAGCCCAAATCCTTCTTAGATTCGATCATCAATTTTATAGATAGATCTTTATTCTTAATAAATATTTAAGATAATTAAACTTTAATCCAGATTCTTAATATAATTATACAAATAAATTAATACCTAATTAAATTACACTCTATCATATACCAACAGTAAATTAATTATTTATTTTAGTACCACACCTATTATTATTATTATTATTATTGGTATCAATATTATTATTTATTCACTCTTACTTTTATATTTATTTATTTATTATCTTTAACTTTAATTTGGCCCAACTAGTATTATAATTTTATATTTCTGTTAATTTGACCCCAAATAATAATCCCTAATTAATCTCATATTTGTTATTCCAATGCCAAATTAGATTATGTGTTTATTATTATTTATTTAATAATATATTATCACATATAGCTAGTATAAAATTTAAGGGATAATTTAAATTTTCGAGTTGTTACATAAATAACTTAATCTCTTCTTTTATATTTACAACTCAGTATGAGAGAATTTAAGGAGTTCAGAAGTCTCAACACGGTTATTTCAATAATTTGAATATTTCATTTTATATGACCCTCAATGTGTGGCATCCACATAGAAAAACAATTAAATTGATTCAATAACCATAACAATTTTATTTTATAACATTTGTTGTTGACAAATAAATGGTTTATTTTTTAAAATATATTTGTTATCTTTTTATTTGAAAATAAATGCCCTAAAATAAAATATTACGATTAGTTAATCGAACTAATTTTTTTTTATAAATAATATATATCGATAATCTTACAAAGTAAACATTTTATATTATTACAAGAAGAACCTTGATAAATCCAATAAATTGTCAATTTTTATCATATTAAAATGTGAATATCGGAAAACTTCAACCATTCATAAAAATAATAGTAATTAACACGAAACGAGCTTGACAAATAAGTAGCCAAATTTCCAATATTCATAAATACACGTGGGGTACGTTTAGCCGGCGGAAGCGGCCTATGGCAGACTAGGAGCTCTTGCTAAAAGACTTGGTTTGACATAATAAAAAAAAAATTAAAAAATTAAAAAATTATTATTTTATCGACCCCGCTACGTAGCTCGAATTCGTGGCTCGACATCAAAACGATGTCGTTTTAGTATCTTTGTTTTTTTTGTTTTTTTTCTTTTTCCTGTGTTTTTGTTGCAGAAGGAAGACGAAGAAGAAGGGTGGAGAAGAAGAGAAGGGAGGAGGAGGAGGAAGGAGGAGGACTGGAGGGGGCATATTCATAGGGGGAGGAGGCGGAGGCAGGGCCGGAGGCGACGGAGGTGGTGCTGCGACGATCGCTGGTGCTGCGACGACCGGCGGCGGCGAGGCGACGGCGGTGGTGATCTCCTCTCCTCCTCTCTCTTTCTCCCTCTTTCCTCCTCTTTCTCTTCTCCTCTCTTCTTCCTCTCTTCTCTCCCTCTTCCCTCTTCCTCTTTTCTCCTTTCTCTCTGTCTCTGTCTTCGAATTCGAGTCATTTTTCGAGCCACAGATTCGAGCTACCAATCTTTTTCCTTATCTTATTTAAGTCACATTAATTTATTTAAGTCACATCATTTCTCTACTACATCATTTCAAATTCAATCCATACTCAATTCATATTTCATAAAAATTCAAAAAGTACACTTATTTAGTTTATCCCAAACAACCCCAACAGGCTCCTATGGTGGGATGGTGGAGTTCTTTCTTTTTTAGGCGAATTACACTAATAGTCCTTGTAGTTTGGGATTTATGTCACTTTGGCCTTTAATTTTTTAATTGTGACACATTTGACTTTGAATTTTGAATCTTATTTCAAATAAGAACAATTGAAAATATTATTACTTAATTTTAAGGGCAAAATCGTCAATTTGATAAAATGTAAACTAATTTGATAAAATAAATGCCAAAATAATATTTTTAAATTTTTAAAAATTATTTTTACCTACAAAAGATAAAATTATTTAAAATTGATTAATCTTTTAAACATTTATTTGTTTATTTTTTTTACCAAATTAATTTTATGTGTGTTTGGATGATGATTATGTAATGGGTAGTTGTTAGAATTTTAATGCGTAATTGATATATTTAATATATGAAATATTTTTAGTTTTGAATTTTTTCATTTAATGGATTGATTTTTTCATTTAATGGATTGATTTAATAATGATATCAAAATTGTCGCCATATTTAACTTTTGAAAAAATAGAAACTAATTTAATGAAAATAAAAACAACAACCCATTACACGATTATCATCCAAACACATAATAAAAATTAATTTTGAAACATAAATAAATGTCTAAAAGATATATCAATTTTACATAATTTTATCTTTAGTATGTAGAAATAATTTTTAAAAATTCAAAAATATTTTTTTGACATTTATTTTTGTCAAATTAATTTATATTTTATCAAATTGACGATTTTGGCTTTGAAATTAAGTAATGGTATCTTCAAATGTCTTTATTTGGAATAAGATTTAAAATTCAAAGTCAAACGTGTCACAATTAAAAAGTCAAGGACCAAATAGGAACCGTTTGTATAATTTGCCCTTCTTTTTTTTGATAATCCAAACCGTTTATATTGTAAAATTTATTGAGTAAATCGTTTATGCAAAAAATTAAATTAATTAGACATCTATAACTTTGTAACGAGAATACATTTGTTTTTTAAAAAAATAAACGGTTAACTTGATCTTTGTATATTTTTTTAAAATAATAAGTATTTGATGATAGGATTAAGGATTTTTGATGAATTTAATTTTTTTTATATAAATAATATATTTGACAAATATTATAATATAAACGATTTGAAATATAAAAAAAAAAAAACTCGAAAGACCCCCACTGGAACGCCACATGATACTGCTGTGACTAAGCATCCCCCAAGTTCGTCTATGGTAATAACCATAGGGTAGAGACAATGACGTAATAACCATAGGCCATGTTTGTTTGGGCGGACTAGATTAGCATTCCCATGACTAATAGTCCTAGGATAACTAATCCGTTGGATTATGTATCCTATCTTAACTAATAGTCAAGTGTAAAATAATTAATCCGTACTTCAATTGTTTAACCAAACATCGGATTAATAATTTTATTGGACTATTAGTCCAATCCCAAGCTCATGTCCACCCAAACAAACATGGCCATAGGGTAAAGACAATGACCATTGACTTCATCTCTTGACGAAAATGAGGACACTGCTGGGCCAGCAGCCTTCCAAGAAAGTGTGCTTTGATTGTTGAGAGTTCAACCACTGTCTGGACCCAAAGAAAAATTTCAGTTAAATGGATCGCTGATTTGTGTTATTTGTTTATTAGCAAGTTCTACAGGTTCGTGCTTCTATCAATCAAAGTTAGAAAGCTCTCAGACGCACCGGAAGCTCAAGAAATATGGCTCAGGCTGTTGTCTCTTTTGCGGCCAGATGGATTGCTGATTTGATGATTCAAGAAGCAAACCTCTTATACGGAGTTCGCGATCAAGTTGAAGGTTTGGTGAGAGAGTTAAGGCGGATGCAATGTTTTTTAAAAGTTGCAGATGCAAAACAAGTAGAAAATGAGATTATCCGTAATTTGGTTGCGGAAATCAGAGAAATTGCTTATGATGCAGAGGATCGGATAGCGACTTTTATAGTAGAGGTTGAGCCGAGGAGAAGGCAAGGCTTTCGAAACTTCATCACGAGATCTACTCGCATCTTCAATGAACTCATAGCTCGGCGCAAGATTGGCTCTGAAATTAGAAGGATTAAAAGCAAGATCACTGAGCTTACTGCAACATTTCCAACTTATGGCCTAATTGCTATGGCCCCTGAAAGAGAAGGTCCAAGTTCTGCTCTTCAAAGGCAATTTCAGTTACGACGGACTTATTCCCATGTTGAAGATGAAGATTTTATTGGTTTTGAGCTAGACATAAAGACACTAGTGGATCAATTGGTGAGAGAAGAAGCCAAACACCGTAAGGTTGTTTCAATTTGCGGTATGGGGGGTTTGGGAAAGACTACCCTTGCTAGGAAAGTTTACCATCACCAAGACGTTAAGGGCAATTTTGAAGCCTTTGCTTGGGTCTCAATATCACAACAATGGGAACGAAAAGATGTTCTGCAAAGGATCCTAACTAAACTCATTCCAGAGAAAAGTGGGCAGATTGTGACTATGATAGATGACCAGTTAGTGAAGTTACTCTATCAAGTTCAACAAGAGAAAAAATGCCTAGTTGTTCTTGATGACATTTGGTCATCACATGCTTGGGAGTGCTTATCACCGGCATTTCCTAAAGGAAATCCTAAGGGTAGCAAAATAATCGTTACTACTCGTAATAAAGAGGTAGTAACATCTATGGATCCAAGTGGTTTCGTCCTTGAACCCGAGTGTTTAAGCCCGGACAAGAGCTGGAAGTTATTCGAAAAAAAGGCTTTCTCGAAAACAAATACTACAGGTTAGTTGTCGTGAAATTTCAAATATAATTTTGTGGCTCAACTCTACATCCATTATTACACTATTCCCATAATATGCTATCCTGCCCTGTTTTTGTAGTAAAAAAACACCTCTCTTTTTAGAATCAACAATGATAGCTGGCTCAAAAAATCATAATTTGAATGGTTCGAAACATTTAAAATGACGTCGTTTTGACACATTCGAGCCATTCGAACCACCAAATATTTTCCTTTTAGAGTGTTTTGAGAAGTTGATAAAAATTGACTTTTTTGGCAAAAAACTGGGTTCTTTTGAGTAAAAAAGTTGATTATTTTTTACTAAAAAAAGCTAAAAAGCCAAAAATCTGGCTTTTGACCAATACTGCCAAAATGTGTTGAATTCACCCATGTAGAGAGGCAGTTACCATGGTTGACAATTGGTTGGCAAAAAATGTGGGCAAGCCACCATTGTTGACAATTGAGAAGAAGCCACCATTGTTGACAATGATGAGAGATGAGCAATCATAGGGGTAGGTGGTGACCAATCACACCTCTCCTCCAATGTGTATAAATGGAGGTTGAGAGGAGAGTTGAAAGTGTGAGAACCGTGAGACAGAACAACAAAGAGAGTGAGAGATGTGAGGTGGAGAGACCGTCTCTTTCGGTGTGAGCAAGGGAGACAGGTGAGTGGCTGAATGAGGAGAGTGTGAACTCCCCATCTACTGTAATCTTTCTGTAAACTCTCCATTGTTATAGTGATAATCGGTTACTCTCCCGTGGACGTAAGCTTTAAGGCCAAACCATGTTAAATATGGTGTCTCCTTATGTGTGAGTGTGTTTTTCTGCTTGGTATGATTTCTATAAGGTCTTGGGCGGGATCCCCGATCCCAACAAGTGGTATCAGAGCCTTGTCGGTGGCGTTTCGAAACAAAAACAATGTGATTTTCGAAACTGCCCAGAAATCAAGTTGCTCAAAATCAGGTTTTGAGCATACCAGGAGCAAGGGCTCGACGACAGGAGTTTAGAAATGCAAAGCAGACCACCAGAAGAGCACGGATGCGCCCTCACGCACCCCCTGAAGACGGCACGTGAAGCCTAGTCTCATCACGCGCCCCACGCACCGTGAAGCGGATCCGGTACGTAATCTCACTCGCGTGTACGCGGCCCACGCGCGACGAAGGAAGAAGACGAGTGGGAAGGCGTGTGGGTATGACGTCAGCGTGACGTCATCGAGCCGTTGACTGAAGTCAACCAAGACGTTGACCTAGCTGTTGACCGGAGCCGCTAAGCCGAGTCGGATCCGAGCTGCCAAGCCAAGCCGGAGTTGTTGACCAATTGTTGACCAAGCCGCGCCGCTAGCGGTTGACGTCAGCCGAACTAGAGGAGTTATCCGGTGCAACGCGGCTAAGGTGTAGCTGCAGATCTGAGGCGTACAAAATGTTTTGGCTGATCTAAGCCATTTGGAGTTCGTTTCTGCCGATCCAATAGTGCTTTCCAACTATTTGGAGTATTCTGCACACATCCGTACGGTCAGATTTTGGAATAGGAGTTTCTGTAAAAAGAAGGAAGATCAATGTGACAGACGGCATAAGGTGCAGTGGACGAAATATTCTATTGGCACACAGAATATTCCCTGAACTTTTGAAAATTGCAATTTGGCCCAGAATTTTCAGAAAATTGTGATGTGGCCCAACTTTCGGGGATGGTTTTCAGTGAGGTTCCCGGAAGTGCAGCGAAGGTTGGTCTTAGCTAAACAGACCATTCCGGACGCAACCACGAGATCAGAATAGTGAAATTCTAAACAGTTTTGAAAGATTGTCAAAACATCGGAGTTTGTCATCTTCAATAGTGGAAGGAAGGTTGCTGGATATTATGGAACGTTGCGGATTCACTAAAGAGGTTAGACGCACTAAAGAGGTTAGAATGGGCAAATTCTAACCAGATTGGACAACCAGATACAGATCGAGATAGATCATTGGAGACCAAAGAAGATCAAGCTTGATCAAATGGCAGATCAAGGGAGATCAGGATTGGTCGAGCGCGATCAGAGGATTGTAGAGATGATTATCTTCAGAGTTCATTGGAAGATCTGGTTCTATCAGAAGAGAAGACCATTCATCGACGAATAGATGATTTGGCAGCAAGTACAGGCTCAGGGAAATGCTGTGGCTGTTGGAGCTACTGTATACGAGTAGGTACCGAAGAAATGTGGACATGTAGAACAATAGTTGCAGAGGAACATACTAAGTGCAGAAGCACAAATGCAGACGTGCAGTAGTGCAAGGGTACGCTAGAGTGTCGTACAGAGGTGCGAGAAGAGTGTGTAGCAACGGGTTGTTGACAATTCACAGGAACTTCCAGACAGAGAAATTGAGACGGATAAAACACAAGAGTGCGCGCTAAAGAGTGGCAAGTCTTTTTCTCTATGGTGGTTTCTTTGGTTCCATGGCAGTGAATGATAGAGTTAATGCAGATCTCTCAAGCGAGCTCGACGCAGGGAAACCAAAAGCCATAGGTGCGAGCACTATGCAAGGAATTGCATAGCTGACAATGCTTTGACAGATGGAGCTACTGTCAACCATCAATCTACTGGACAGCAAATAAGGGATTACAAAGGCATAGACAACAAGCGTATGTGGAAACGCTAGGAGGTTGTTCAGAAGTGCAGAGGGCAAAGGCTGATAGTTCAGAGGAAAATCTCCGAACAAAGAAGACCGAGGACGTTGATGGGATAAACAACGAGTTTTCTATTGCTCCTATAACTGGTCCTGTGAGATAAGGCATGACAGTCAAGGGCATCCCAGCAGGGGGTGCAGGACATCCAATCAGGGGGTGTAGGGTATCTTGGTTACGCAAGTTCAAGCATAGCAGGTGAAGACATCCGAGACAGGAAGCGTGGAAGAGATCTGTGGGAGATAGGAGCAGAGACTCTCTCCAAATCAGAGAGTGGTGGGAGTTGAGTTGAGGATGTAGGATTCCCTCCTCCTCTTATATCTCTGGTGTATAATCTCTAGCTTCAGGGGGTGCAAGCATCTTAGTGAGAAGTTGCAGACTATGCTGAAATTTGGGCGTAACAAGATTAGCGGCAGTATGTGCTGTGGATTACCTTACATGGGTGAAGGGAGTGATTTGTTGAATTCACCCATGTGGAGAGGCAGCTACCATGGTTGACAATTGGTTGGCAAGAAATGTGGACAAGCCACCATTGTCGACAATTGAGGAGAAGCCACCATTGTTGACAATGATGAGAAATGAGCCATCATAGGGGTAGGTGGTGACCAATCACACCTCTCCTCCAATGTGTATAAATGGAGGTCGAGAGGAGAGTTGAAAGTGTGAGAACCGTGAGAGAGAACAACAAAGAGAGTGAGAGATGTGAGGCGGAGAGACCGTCTCTCTCGGTGTGAGCGAGGGAGACGGGTGGGTGGCTGAGTGAGGAGAGTGTGAGCTCCTCCTCCATTATAATTTTTCTGTAATCTCTCCATTGTTATAGTGATAACTGGTTACTCTCCCGTGGACGTAGGCTTTAAGGCCGAACCACGTTAAATATGGTGTCTCCTTCTGTGTGGGTGTGTTTTTCTGCTTGGTATGATTTCTATAAGGTCTTGGGCGGGATCCCCGATCCTAACAAAATGCTCCAGAATATCTAAATATTTTTACTAGTGTAGTGTTAATTTTTCACTTTAACATAGTGCTATGTTCATACATTTCCGTTAATTCAGACGCCACCACAAATTTTAAAATAAAAGTGGCGACACAAAACATAACATATAATGTTTCTAAAATTGTCGACACTTTGTCAACAAGAATGTTTATTTCTATAATTTTAGTGGGCATATAATTTCTACTATTTTTTTCTCTTAAATAAGTTTTTCTTTTTCTGAAAAGCTTAAGTTGTTAAAGAGATGCAATAAACAGATCAAACACAGAGAGGTGTAACAATTTTTTGGTCCTGCTAAGTCCGTGGCTATAAATCTCATTCCATGCAGGATTAAACACATGGTATGCATATCATTATATTAATTTAAGGCTTAATTACATTTTTTGTATTTAAAATATGAGCCTTAAATTGGCACAATTCAAACATTGGAGAGCAAAATGACGCAAGACTCCTACTTTGGAGATAAAAACATGTAATTAACTAGGGGTGCAACTCGGGCGGGTTCGGTCGGGTTGGGGGTCTGCCCAAGCCCGACCCGAATTGTATTTGGCACTGCCCAAGCCCGCGCCAAGCCCGACCATGAACCCGAACATTGTTGCCCAAGCCCGGCCCAAGCTTTGTATTTTGAACTCGGGTTGCCCAAATTGCCCGAATTCCCCGAGTTCAGAAACCTGTAGATAGATCTAAAGGTAGACATAAAAGATAATCTAATGGTAGAAAACTAACGAAAGAAAAATAAAAAATAAAAATTAAGACTAACTCTTTTACTTAATAGAAGACTAACCAAAAAATAAATAAATAAATAAAAATTAAGACTAACTCTTTTACTTAATAGAAGACTAACCAAAAAATAAATAAATAAATAAAAATTAAGACTAACTCTTTTACTTAATAGAAGACTAACCAAAAAATAAATAAATAAATAAAAATTAAGACTAACTCTTTTACTTAATAGAAGACTAACCAAAAAATAAATAAATAAATAAAAATTAAGACTAACTCTTTTACTTAATAGAAGACTAACCAAAAAATAAATAAATAAATAAAAATTAAGACTAACTCTTTTACTTAATAGAAGACTAACCAAAAAATAAATAAATAAATAAAAATTAAGACTAACTCTTTTACTTAATAGAAGACTAACCAAAAAATAAATAAATAAATAAAAATTAAGACTAACTCTTTTACTTAATAGAAGACTAACCAACCCCAGTACCCCCACTGGGGGTCTCATGCATTTTCCTTGACCCTTAATTTTAAACAAAAAACATTTCTTTCTTTTTCCTTTCTCCTTTTTTTTTTTTTTCTTTTTTTTTTGGGATATTTACATAACAATCATAAAATGATTAGTTCCTTTAACCTGCTGGAACTGGCCTGCCGTATCTTCCCATAATACGGAGACGTACATATTCTTTCTTCTCTCTCAAGCATTACTTGTTCTAACTACTACACAAAGAAGGTGAGAACAACTAGAAATATGTTTAAGATTTTGATTTGTGAATGTTTAACAATTTTTATTAGATTATTTTTGCAACTTCGGTGTATTCAAGTATGGATGTTGAAGCTTTTATTACATGATTTAAAAATATCATAATGCTTTATTAAAAGTTTTATTGATCAAAAGTATAAAGTTTCACATTCCCAGCTTTTGTGTCACAATGTCATTTTTTTTATTCAATTATTGTGGTGTAATTACAAAAATACATCCGATATGTACTTTTTTTAGAGATGTGTACTACAATCTTTAAATTATATGTCATCAACGCATGCATGTATTACAAAATAGCCCACACTTTCAAAACAAATTCAAGTAACTTTTGAGAATACATAAACATAATTTTCATAAAAATGATTAAGTACGCAAGAGAGCTGGAAGTAGGGATGGCAATGGGAGTTAATGGGGTGGATATTAATTCTCCATCCCCATTCTCTTATAATTATTTTTCCCCAATCCTCAGTCCCCATTCCCCATTCCCTATGGGTACTACCCTCCTCATCTCCTAATGAGTTTGGATATTCCCCAACCCAACTTGACCCTTTCTTTTTTTTTTAATTTTTAATTTTTAATTTTTTTTTATTTAAGATTCACAACCAAAGTTAAATATACATTCAAAAAATTTTTTCCGTAAGATTCACAACCAAAACTAAATATACATTCAATCTCTTTTTATTTTTTATTTATTTATTTTTAAGGTTCACAACCATTTTTTTTTTTAAGATTCACAACCAAAGCTAAGGCCTCGTTTGAGAATAGGCTAATTTAGTAACTTTTTGACTATTTGACTAAAAAAGTAGGTAAAAAAAACTTATATGTTTGGGATCACTTTTTGGCTAATTACGAAAAGATGTGCAAAAAGTAGAGAGAAAAGAGAATCTTTGACTTTTTTGTATGAGTTGTTGGCTTTTTGACTAAAAAGGTAACTTTTTGACTTTTTGGCTAAAAAGGTAAGTCCCCAAACGGGGCCTAAATATATATTCAATCTTATTTTATTTTATTTGGCTTAACAACAAAATCAAATACACATTAATTAACATTGTCACATTATTCTTGTCAAATTTCTGTATATCTAGAATTTTTAAAATTTATTTCGAAAAATTCAATCTTAACCAAAGTTAAATATACATTCAATTTTTTTATTTTATTTTTTTAAGATTCACAACCAAAGCTAAATATACATTCAATTTTTTTTATTTTTTTTTATTTTTTATATTTTTTAGTAAGATTCACAACCAAAACTAATTAGTTCAATCTCTTTTTATTTTTTATTTATTTATTTTTTAAGGTTCACAACCATTTTTTTTTTTAAGATTCACAACCAAAGCTAAATATACATTCAATCTAGATATACATAGAATTTTAAAAAATCTATATATACATAAAATTTGACAAGAATAATGTGATAATATTAATTAATGTGTATTTGATTTTGTCATTGAGCCAAATAAAATAAAATAAGATTGAATGTATATTTAGTTTTGGTTGTGAATTTTAAAATTAAAAAAAATAAAAAATAAAAAATAAATTGAATGTATATTTAGCTTTGGTTAAGATTGAATTTTTCGAAATAAATTTTAAAAATTCTAGATATACAAAAAATTTGACAAGAATAATGTGACAATGTTAATTAATGTGTATTTGATTTTGTTGTTAAGCCAAATAAAATAAAATAAGATTGAATGTATATTTAGTTTTGGTTGTGAATCTTAAAAAAAATTAAAAAAAATAAAAAAATTGGTTGTAAACCTTAAAAAAAAAAAGAAAAGAAAAGAAAAAAGATTGAATGTATATTTAGCTTTTGGTTGTGAATCTTTAATTAAAATAAAAAAAAAAGGTTGAATGTATATTTAGCTTTGGTTGTGAATCTTCAAAAAAAAAAAATCAAAAAAAAAAAACAAGACATATGGGGAAATTAGTGGGTACCCATCCCCGACCCATCCCCTGTAAATATTTAAAGAATATCACTTACCCTACTCGACGGATAAGAAAAAAGATAAAAACTTATATATTTGAATTGGGTCTCCATGAATACTCATAAAGTAGGTTATCCATTGCCATCCCTAGCTAGAAGTAACATTTGTGGATCCAAGTGGTTTCATCCTCGACCACAAGTGTTTAAGTAAGCAAGAGAGCTGGAAGTTATTTGAGAAAAAAGCTCTCTCAAAAATAGATACGACAAGTTAGTTTGTTGTGAAATTTTAAATATTTTGTGATCTAACTCCATATCCAATTACTATTACACTGCTACTATAATATGCTATCTGCTTCGCTTTTCTAGTTCAATAGCACTTTACCTTTTTTTTACAAGATCTATACATTTCTACTATTGTTTTAATTCTCATTTTTACCTAATTAATGCTATGTTCATAGATTTTCTTGAATTTAGACTACACGACAAATCTTGAAATAGAAGTGGTGACACATAACATAAGTTTGCTAGAAATTTTGAATTGGAACCACGAAATAAAAAGAAAAAGAGTAGACAATGATATGAAAATGATTCTTCAAGTTTCTAGTCTCACGCAACCACATTCAAGGCAAAACTACAACAAGAATGTTTAGTTCTTTCATTTTTGTGGGCATATAATTTTTTACTATTCTTTTCTTGAAATCATGGATGATAAATTGTTTCATATGGTTGTGATTTATTCTCTTGTTTATTAGTTTAATATGCCGTGGTATTTATTCCAAGACATTAAATGACAAGTTGGTAGATTATTTCAAGAATTTTAAACATAACATAACAACAGACAATAAAAAGTCTTCATCAGTGTAATGTAAAACATTTTTGCAAATTCTTTCAGAGTGCATAACACAAACTAGCATACTTGTGTTTGTCCAACTAAGACAAGAGGTCTTCTGTGCATTGATAAATTTACACTTTGGTCTGTTGCAGAATTCAAAGTTGACACAGTGATGGAGAAGTTTGGAAAAGAAATGGTTGAAAAATGTGGGGGCTTACCACTAGCCATTGTAGTACTTGGAGGACTTCTAGGAACAAACTTGACCTTGAGCCATTGGCAGAAAGTGCAACAAAATTTCAATTCTTATTCAAAAAGAGGAGAATACATGAGAGGAGGAGGAGGACAAGATGGAAGAGTATTGGATGTGTTAGCTTTGAGTTACCAAGACTTACCATATCAGCTCAAGGCATGTTTCCTTTATTTGGGCAATTATCCTGAGGATTTCGACATCGATGCAGAGAGACTATATCAATTGTGGATGGCTGAAGGCTTCATATCCCAAGAAGAAAGAGGAGAAGACGAAACCATGATGGATGTGGCCGAACGTTACATGGGTGAACTAGCACAAAGGTGCATGGTTCAAGTGGAAATGGAGCCAGAGGAGTATTCAATAATTAGAGAAGGCAGAGGGTTTCGATGTTGTCGACTTCATGATCTCATGAGAGATTTATGTTTGTCAAAGGCAAAAGAGGAAAATTTTCATCAGGTCATTGAATGTGGGCATATAAATCAGCAAGAGCATCCCTCTTCTTCATCCATAGTAACATCAATTGGTGGTAACACTTGCAGTAAAATACACAGACTTGTCATGAATCTAGATAAGAAGAATAGTGCTCGGCATATTCGTCTCTTTGAACAAGAAGAAAGTGCTCGGCATATTCGGACAATTTTATTCTTCAGAGGTGATGATTGTGATTATCCGTTTCGGACAATTTTATTCTTCAGAGGTGATGATTGTGATTATCCGTTTGGAGAAACATTGACCCGTTTCTCCAAAGAATCCAAATTTCTTAGAGTTATAAATTTCAATGGAAATTCATTTGACCATAGAGAAGGAACAAAAGAGTTACCAAAAGAAATAGGAAACCTAATCCTTTTGAGGTACTTGGGTCTATATAGGAGTGCATTCACAAAGTTGCCATCATCAATAGGCAACCTTAGACACTTGCAAACCCTTGATTTACGAACAAGCTCCTATATGATCACTGTTCCAAATGTGTTATGGAAGATGGAAGGATTGGTACATCTTTATCTTCCTTCGTTTGGTTGCTTTTGTACAGAAGGCAAACTACGAGTAGATGGTTTGAAGAAGCTGGAGACGCTAGAAAACTTGGATTCAGATAAGGTTGATGTTAGAGATCTCTTCAAATTAACCAATCTCCGTAGATTGGAGAAAGTATGCGTAGAGGGAAAGCTTGAGGACCTAACAATGGTCAATAACTACATCCTTAACGGCAGCCATCGACTACAGCACACATCCATTAATATTCGAAATTGTGATTTGTGTTCAGAAGATGGATTAAGCAGCCTGAGAAAACTGCTTGGGTGTGTTTGCCTTGGTCGATTGCGTATAGATGGGATTATAGGCAAGTTACCACAATACGAACACCAGTTATTATGCCAAAGCCTCACCTATTTAAGGCTGTGTGACTCTGAACTTAAGGAAGACCCAATGGCAACACTGGAGAAGCTGCCTAACTTAAGGATTCTATGGTTAGATAATAATGCCTTTGTAGGAAAGGAAATGGTTTGCTCTGCTCATGGTTTCCTCATCTCAAGAGACTATTGCTTTCGGGTTTAGGAATTGAGGAATGGAGGGTGGATGACGGAGCCATGCCTACACTTTATTCTCTAGAGATTGAATCCTGCAAGAAATTGAAGATGCTTCCGAATGGATTGAGATTCATCCCTACCCTCCAGGAATTGGAGATTGACTGGATGCCTAAAGCATTCAACGACAAGCTTCGAGTGGTCGATGGCCAAGAAGGAGAGGATTTTCACAAAATTAGCCACATCCCTTCCATTCGTTTTGGTGGTAAGTAAAACAATTCCTTTTTCTAGATGAATGAATCCAAAAGGGAACAGTAAGAATTCTAATGTACCACATTTTTTGTATTTGATCCAAGGTTTTGAAATGCGGTTGCGGTCGCTGTAACGGTGGCGGTGCCGCGGTTGCGGTTGCGGGGTGTAAAGGCCGTAGCGTAACGGTTGCGGTAACCGGAACCGTGAATTTTTTTATTTTTCGCACAATTTGAAAAAAACTTACCGATACGCATATTTTTTTTCCATAATCATATTTATTGGGTTTTAAAATAAATATTGATTAATTTTTATAAATTTTTAAGTATGATTCAATATATTTCATATTTTTAAATCATTATAAACTGAGTTTTTTACATTTTATTTTACTAATTAATGACTTTATATGTCATAAATCCATATTTCACTTGTGGTAAAAAAAAAAAAAATTATTGGAGTTAGACGTATAAATTTATTTTTTAATTATTATACTTGTAGAAGCATATGCAAATTTTAACTTGAATAGTTTTTAAAAAATAAATTAGACATGCTAATATAATCATATAAAAATTAAAAAATAAATTATAAAGAATTTTTTTTGGGGGGGTTTGGATCAGTTGAATATTCATTCTCTTTTTAGATAACCTGTAAATAAAAATAAAATAAACTAATAAAAATTGACATGTGTAAAATATCTATTAATATATAATTATAGGTGTTATGTTTTCTAGATATTTTATAAAAAAATCAATCACTAATTATTATATATAAGATAAACCAAGGCAAAAGTAAGAATAAATAAGAGTCTAAATATATATATATATATTTTAATCAAGCCAAATCGATAATGACCACATTATTATTATGATTTTCAAATAATATATAGATAGATACATACAAACAAAATGGTTGACTGATAGTAGCTGAATAGAATATCATAGGTCTTACAGCTTCAACAAATCAATAACATATTATTCATCTTCCCTCTTCTCTCTCTATCCCCTTTTCCCTATTTTTAGTTTTTTTTTATGTTTTTTTTTAAAGAAGCAGTTCGGAACCGTTACGTAACGGTACGTAACAGGCCGTTATGGTCGTTACGGCACCGTTACGACCGCTATAACGGCCGCTACGGCCAACACACCTGTGAATCTCAATCACACTGCAAAAGCGGCTGTAACGGGTGGTGGTAACCACCAAAACCGTTACGTAACAACGGTTGCGGCCGCTTTTTAAAACTTTGATTTGATCTTTCATATTAAAATAAACTGACAAAAACAAGAAAATAGAAGAATTTTAGAAAAGTAATCAATAAATTTTATTTTACTTTTGAAATTACTCATGGGTTGTATCAAGTTTTAATATAAATAACTAAGTCTTATTTATAATAAAAGGTTTCCACAAGATTCATTACTCTATAATGACGTCTTATGCCAATTTTACCCTTCCTATTTAATATGAACAACAATTTTATAAATAAATTTAACTTAAATAAAATTTTAAATTTTAATTGTAAAAATTATTAATCTTATACTTATAATTTTGTTTATTAGAAATCATTTAATTTGAACAATTAAAATAATTTAATTATAAAATTTCTAATAAATTAAAATTATTTATGAAATTCTTTGTTCATAATTTGATATAACTCAATAATAATTTTCAAAATAAAATAGCACTTTTTGATAATTTTTTCATTGTGAGTTATGATTTTTTTAAGACAATATCATAATTTTTACAATTAAAAATATTATTTTACTTAGATTAAAGATATTTTCATATTAAATTATGAATAAAATTGTGATAACATCCACCATTATGGAGTAATAAATATTTTGAAAATATGCTATAAAAAATAAGATTTAATTGTACATATAATCTTGAAAACAAAATAGGACTTACTGATTATTTTTCCTAGAATTTTTCAGAAGCAGAGGAGAGTAAAGATCAGTACTTCTTCCACCCATCTCTCTCCCTCTTTGTCTCATTTTTTCCCCCTTTTCTACATATGCCAATAACTTTTTCTCTTGAAAAATATTTACGTGCAACTGTTCTTCTGTTGGGAATAGACTTGTTTCATATATATTTGAAAATTTATACCTACATCTCATTTATTTTTAATTGCTTATTATTCCTAAGTCCTATACTAGAATTCATAATATAATTGTATCTACACCACACGATATTTTTGTTGGTATTTTTCTGTCTAAATTTTTAGTCTCTAGAATTACTCTCAAGACATCTATTTATCTCTCTCTTAGTCTTAATATTTATTTCTCACCATGAAATGCTAAATAGATGAAGTTATCAACTGCTACAATGAAAGGGGAAAAAAATTGTGTTAGTGAATTTCTTAATTAACATGGGATTTAACTTTTAAATCTACATCTTATCTTTTCCTTTAACATAGCTCTGGAATTAGTTATACAACAAATTAGGAAGAACAAATTTATTTTTACACAACAGTTATCCTCTGTGGATTAGGAAGAGAACATGATTCAGTGGGAATAGTTCAGGATATCTCTTCATCATATCATCTTCCCTCTCCCAAGTGGCATACACGCCACCATGGTTTTGCCAGTCAACTTTTACTAGCGGAATCTCTTTGTTCCTCAACTTCTTGATCCGTCTGCTTACAATCTGTATGGGTTGTTCTTCATAAGTGTAGTCATCACTTAGCACTACACGGGTAGGCTCAATCACATGGAAGGGATCCCGAAGGTATTCTCTCAACATTGAAATATGGAACACGTTATGGTTCAGAAGAGAGCTGTCAGAGCACTACCACCAGAACCAAATCCACTAACAGAAGACCAAGAGATGGCTAAGAAGAGAGCTGTCAGAGCACTTATCACCGAAACAATGGCTTCAGCCATAGATGACCAGACCGAGATACCACAAGCTGGCCAAACACATGAGGCCGTGGTAGCCCTTTCAACAGCCCGGGCCTCATCATCTCGGCCAAGTAAGCGTGCTCGCACTTCCTCAACCAAGCCACGCCTTGTTGACGAAGAAGACCCCATACTTCCCCAAAACATGCCACCGAGCCCAGAACTCGAGCGTTCTGACGGGGCTAGCCCTTCTGAATGGGCCCCAAAGATAACATACAAGAACTGGCCTGTTTCCAGCACCGATTCGGTGGTAGCAGACAAGGACCACTTGCTCGCTTTCAATCTCGCCAAAAGTGTGTGTCTACCTGCCGACATGGAGCACCACGATCACCTCACCGAGCTGAAGGCCATCCGTTCGGCCACTAAGTCAATGGTGCTGGTAAGTGTTGCCCTAACCGCCATCCATTAATCAACAACTGTTTGCTTGGTTTCTGTTCATAACTGCTACCTTTTTTGTAGGCCATGCAAAAGAATCACATCACTCACAAGCGAGTTTTGAAGTTTCGCAAGACAGCACAGCTGGCCGTGGCCGATGCCAACTCCAGGACAGCCGAGCTACAAGAAGCGAAGAAAAAAATGACCAGGCTCACTACTGAAGTCGCCCGACTCACCGAGCTAGTCAATTCGGCAGAGGGGGACAAGCAAAAGGCCTTGGCCGAGCTGAAAGACCATTATTTGCGTGAGCTGGCTAAGATCGAGAAGAAAAAAGGCGCCAAGATAGCCGAACTGGAGAAGAAGATGGAAGGCGCGGAGGACCGCGGTTACAAGGAAGGTGAAGCCACCTACATCCTGCAGTGCGAAGCTGCCATGGATATATTTTTCAAGTGTGGATGGAAGGTGGCTGTGGCGAAGCTCGATCATGGCCAAGAGACTGAGGTCTTCCAGAACCCTCCTCCACATTTCATACCGAGCTACATGACGGAGTATGCCAATGCTATTCAGCAAAATTTTCTTGAAGTTGAAGAGGAAGAGGCATCCCCAGAACCGAACAACACCCCAGTCGTTGCCAATGATCCTAGCTTTCAAACTGCCCAGTCAGCTCGGGTGGAGCCATTGGTGCCCATTGTAGTTGATGATGTGGTAGGGACCGACCTACCCGCCAATGCCGGGCTACCAGTTGGTGAAGCTCGGGTTGACTTGGATGCTGATTTGGATGACCTTTTTGCGTGATCATGTATTTTCTTTTCTTCAGATGCTAACTGTAAGAAATTTGTAACCAGGCTGAGGCCCCACCTTTTGTACCTTTGAATTGAATTTTGAATGAAATCTTCTTCTTTTTGTTCGGTCTGTTCCATACCTGCACTTATTTTCTACTTTGATTAGCATGAAGTATAACATTTTTTGGCCGAAATATCTATCTCGGTCTTAACTTTGTAATCTATTTGGTCATGCCTGCCAACCTCTTTAGCCTAGATCCTTATCTCGGCTGAAGAGTACTCAACGTTGGTTATTCCAGCCAACCACTCTTTAGCTTAGATCCTTATCTCGGCTAAAGAGTACTAAAAGTTGGTTATTCCAGCCAACCACTTTTCAGGCTAGATCCTGATCTTGGCTGAAGAGAGATAAGTGTTGGTTTTTCCAGCCAACCTCTTCAGTCCAGATCCTTATCCCGATTGAAGAGAGCTCAGTGTTAGTTATTCCGGCCAACCTAGAGCCAAGTGTTTGGTTATTCCTGCCAAACTTCTTTAGCCTAGATCCTGATCTTGGCTGAAGAGAGCTTAAAGTTGGTTATTCCTGCCAACTTAGAGCCAAGTGTTGGTTTTTCCGGCTAACCTCTTCAGCCTAGATCCTAATCTTGGCTGAAGAGAAACAAATGTTGGTTTTTCCAGCCAACCTCTTCAGTCTAGATCCTGATCTTGGATGAAGAGAAATAAGTGTTGGTTTTTCCAGCCAACCTCTTCAGCCCAGATCCTAATCTCGGCTGAAGAGAGCTCAGTGTTGGTTATTCCGGCCAACCTAGAGCCAAATGTTTGGTTATTCCTGCCAAACTTCTTCGGCCTAGATCCTGATCTTGGCTGAAAAGAGCTCAAAGTTGGTTATTCCTACCAACTTAGAGCCAAGTGTTAGTTTTTCTGGCCAACTCTGCTTTCATTGCCCCTAGTACTAACTTTTACAGAAGAAAAGAATTATGCTGAAGAGGGAACTACTTGTTTTATTGAAAAAGAAAAACTACAAGTACTTTAATGAAAAGCTAAAAAAAAATAATTTGAGATTGGCGGTATTCCATGGCCTGGGAATGGCCTTGCTGTCTCCATCTTCCAAGTGATATACCCCTTTTCCTGCTAAGCCAACCACTTTGTATGGTCCTTCTCAATTAGATCCTAACTTGCCATCTCCGGATACCAGAGTGTTTCCCATTACTTTGCGCAGTACCCAATCTCTAATCTTGAATTGCCTCGAATGTACTGCCTTGTTATATTTTCTGGATAGCTCTTGCTGATATGAAGCGATGTAGACTAGTGCTCTTTCTCTTCTTTCTTCTGCTAGGTCAAGTTCCAAGGTTATGACTTCTCCATTCAAGTCTGGGTCAAAATTTTCACTTCTAATTGTGGGGAGGCCGACTTCCAGTGGGATTACTGCCTCCATGCCGTAGGCTAAGGAGAATGGCATTTCTCCAATTGATCGCCGAGGTGTGGTACGGTAAGCCCATAAAACATGAGGAAGCTCCTCAGCCACTTGCCTTTTGCTTTCTCCAATCTTTTTTTTAATCCATCAAAGACGACTTTGTTTGATGCTTTTGCCTGGCCATTTGCTTGGGGGTATGCTAGTGTAGAATTGTAGAATTCTATCTTATACTCCTCACAAAAGCCTCTAAAAATTTTTCCATCAAACTGAGTGCCGTTGTCAGATATTAGAGCCTTGGGTATGCCGAATCGAGTGATGATATTCTACCAAACGAACTTCTTCACGTCTTTCTCTTTTATTGATGCGAGTGCTTCTGCCTCCACCCACTTTGTGAAGTAGTCTGTTGCTATAAAAAAGAACTTTCTGTTGCTGGGTGCCGTTGGGAGTGGTCTTACTATGTCCAAGCCCCACATCGCAAAGGGCCATGGGCTAGTTAATGGTAGAAGCTCTCTGCTTGGTTGATGTATTTGGTGTGTGAACTTCTGACATTTCTCGCACTTCTTGACCTACTTCTCCGAATCTGCTTGCATGTAAGGCCACCAATATCCTTGTGAAATTGCTCTGTAGGCCAATGATCTTCCTCCATGGTGGCTTCCGCATACGTCTTCGTGTATCTCGAACAAGAATGCTTCGACCTTGCTGGGATGAACACATTTCAGGTAAGGTCCTATGAAGGATTTTTTGTACAAGGCCATTGATGGGGAGAGCCAAAATCGCTATGACTTTGCTCTTATTTTGTTGGCTTCTTTCCTTTCTTCGGGTAAGACGCCGTCTTTTAAGAATAATGTAATGGGATCTATCCATGAGGGGCCTAGTTCGGCACAACATACCTCAACTACTTCGGGTTCTTCAATGCTTGGTCTTGGCAGGAAGTCGATCAGTAATGGATGTGGGATGGATGTATCTGCCATCGAAGCAAAGCCTGCTAGTTCGTCTGCTCTACTGTTTTCTTCTCGGCCGATCTATTCTATCCGCACTACTTCAAATTTCATGATTTCCCTTCTGATTAACTCTTGATACTTTGCCATCCTCTCATCTTTCGCCTCGTAGTCACCTGAAATATAGTTTACTACCAGTTGGGAGTCACTGTAAACCATTAGCTCGGTGGCCTGCATGAAGAGTGCTGATTTTAGGCTTGCTAAGAGTGCTTCATACTCCGCCTCATTGTTTGATGTTGGGAAGCCAAGGTTGACTGCTTGTTCCACTACTAGGCCATCTGGTGAGATGAGGACTATGCCAAGTCCTGCACGATGCCTATTGGATGCTGCATCCATGAAGAGCTTCCACATCTCTCCAACGAATAGCTTCTAGCAAGTAGAGGGGTTGGATGATGTCTTGGGGTCGTGAGTGTTGCTGATGTTTTCTTCCAAGTCCATGCCTGTTGTAGGTGTTGTGTCTTCACTGTCAGACTGCCTCAAATCTCTGCTTTTTTATGAGTCCTCACTGGGAATGGCTTGGTTTGCCTCTTCCTCCCTTTCTATAATCCGATATGCCTTGAGATGTGGCTGGGCATCTTGTTTTGGGGGCTGCGTAATTCCTGCAGCACGTTCCATCCCCTTTTCTGTTATACCAGTCAAATTAACTGGGCAGATGTGATGACTTCTTGGTGTGAATTCTGCCACAAAGTCAACCAAAGCTTGGGTTTTTATTGCAGTTCTGGGTTGAAACTTGATATCAAATTGTCCCAATTCTACTGCCCACTTCAAGATTCGCCTAGAAAAGTTTGGCCTCTCAAACAAAGCTTTTAATGGAAAAGCTGTTAGGACGATTATGGTGTGGGCGTAGAAGTAATGCGACAGCTTCCTTGAGGCCATCATCAAGGCTAAGGCCAGTTTTTCCAATGGTAAGTATCTGGTTTCTGCGCCCAGCAAGGTCTTGCTAATATAAAAGATGGGCAGGTGTTGGATTCCTTCCACTCTGACCAACACTGCGCTGACTGCGTACTGTGAAACTGCCAGGTACAAAAAGAGCTCTTCTCCAGGTATTGGGGTTACTAGCAACGATGGAGAAAACATGTACTCTTTTAGGCATTCTAGTGCGCAGTCGCATTCTTCATCCCACTCAAACTTGGCCTTTAATGCTTGAAAGAATGGTCGACATCTGTCTGACGACCGACTTATGAACCGATTGAGTGCGGCTGCTAGGCCAGTGAGATACTGCACCTCTTTGACTGTGTTGGGCCTCTCAAGATCCTGGATTGCTTTGATCTGAGAGGGCTCTGTTTCTATACCTCGGTTGGTCACCAGGAAGGAAGCCTAGGAATTTGCCCGATCCTACGCCGAATGCACACTTGGATGCATTTAGGCACAACTTGTTTTCTTCAGAATCTGGAATATTTCACCTAGGCCTTTGAGATGGTCGTTCTTATCCTTGCTTTTGACCACCATATCATCTATGTAAGCCTCCATTGTTCTGCCTAACAATGGTTCAAACATCTTGGTGACCATTCGTTGGAATGTTGCCCCTACGTTTTTTAGGCCAAAGGGTATGACCTTGTAACAGTACAATCCTCTAGGCGTTGTAAAGGATGTGACCTCCTGATCTGGTTCATACAGAGCGATCTGATGGTAACCTCTGTACGCATCAAGGAAGCTAAGTCGATTGTGGCCTGTCGTCAGGTCTACCAGTTGGTCTATCCCTGGTAGGGGAAAACTATCCTTTGGGCATATCTTGTTGACTGTTTTGTAGTCCACGTAGACACGCCATTTTCCGTTCTTTTTTGGCACTACTACGGTATTGGAGATCCACCTAGGATAGTGCACTTCTCTGATAGCTCCTGCCTCCAGCAAGTTTTCTATTTCTTCCGCCACTATCTCGGTATGGTGGAGTGCTGATCTGCGAGTGCGTTGTATAACTGGCCTGGCAGTTGGGTGGACGTTCAGTTGGCGACAGATGAAGTTTGGATCAATGCCAGGCATGTCATACAGTGTCCAGGCAAACACTTCGATGTTAGAGGTTAAGAATTCCATGACCTCTATTCTCTCAGTGCTGGACAAAGACGAGCTGAGCAAAAAGAACTTTTCTGGGGCTTTTTCATCTATCCTTACCTGTACCAAGTCTTCCACTACCTTTTGTTCAGTTACCTTGCCAACATCCGCAAATAGTTCATTGCTCTCGGGCTCTTCCACCATCTGTGCATACCCTTTTGCAGTGCGGCTGCCATTTACTATGACGAATCACTGTTTTGACATGATTTGGTCTCCAAAGACCTCTTCAATTACTCCGACTTCGTTGGGGAACTGCAATACTTGATGGTAGGTTGAGGCTACCGATCGCATGGCATGCAACCATGTCCTCTCCAAGATTATGTTGTAGGTGGAAGGGACTTTCAATACCCAGAATTCCACCTGTTTTGTCATGGTTCCTGCTTTGACTGGGAGGATTATCTTGCCCACTGGCCACTCTGGCATTGAGTTGAATCTGATCAGGGGAGATGTTGTAGGTGCCAAGTCTTTATCCTCCAGTTTCAGTTGTTTGAAGGCTTCGTAATATATTATCTCACATGAGCTTCCTTGGTCGATCAAAATCTGTTTGACGTCGAAATTCTTGACGCGTAGAGTGACAACTAGTGCATCATTGTGGGGGCAATATATCCTTGCTAAATCTTTGTCTGAAAAAGATATGACATTTGTGGCCTCTGTTTTCCCCTTCTTGATGGCAGGTTGTGCACTTAATACCTCCCTTAAGTGCTCATCCTTTTTGATCAGCCCCCTGAGCTCACATACCCGCTCAGGTTCGAATACTCCATGTATTACGTTAATTATGCCTTGGGGTAGGGCATCGACTGACATTCCGTTTGGGTTGTTGTGGTTCTGGGGGGTTGGTTGTGTCCCTTGTTCTATGTACTGGTCCAGGTGCCTAGCTGCTACTAACTCCTCCAAATGCTGCCTCAATGGCGTGCAATTTTCAGTGCGGTGCCCCTTTTCATCATAGAAGGTGCACTGGGACCTCTCGTCATAGTCTTTTTGCGCTTCTCCCAACTTAGCTGGCCATCGGACGAAAGGTTCATCACGTATCTCACTGAGAATCCGATAGATCGGTTTTTTGAACACAGTGGTGATGGCAATGCGAACTCTCAACCACCTTTTATCTTGGTCCTCTCTATTGTCCCGCCTGCCTCGCCCGTTCCTGCTTGGACGTTCTACCGCGTTGACTTTTGCCGTAGTCTTTTTATCTGGCACCCTGTTGTGCCAAATTTTGCCTTAGCACGGGCGCTATCTTCCTTCACGCGAATATGTTGGTGCACTCTCTCCATTAAGGCCTCCATCGTGAGAGGGGGCGTCATAGTAATCGAGTCCCTCAATTTGTTACTGACTGGCAGGCCCCGTTTGTATTGTGCAATGGCGAGGTTCGTAGGGCAATCCCCAATCTGGTTGAAGGTTTCCCAATAGCGACTGTTGTAGGACCTCAACATCTCTTTTTCGCCCATGTCAATAGAGAGTAGCTGGTCGATCTCCACTAGTGTCTTGGTGTTCATCCTAAATCTGGTCATAAACGCTTCTGCCAATTGCGCCCATGAGGCAATGCTGCCTTCTGGTAGCCTTTCAAACCAGGTTAAACCTAGGTCGCCAAGGCTGGATGGAAATAGGATGCACATTAAAGCCTCGTTTCGCCGATATACTACCATAACCTGGCGAAAGTGGCTTAAGTGCATGTAGGGTTCTGTCTTCCCCTCATAAGTGGTGAATTTGGGCTAGTGGAAGCCTGAAGGTTGTGGCGCGTTCTCAATTGCTGGAACGAATGACGAGTTCTGTAGCCTTGCTAATGCTTTGTTTGTTAGTTCATAAGCAAGGCGCGGCATTGGCATTCTTACCTCGACGCTCCCATGCATCCGAGGGGCCAACCGTTGAAGGGCTAAAACTCTGCGCGGGTCGCGTGCCCTGGTATCCTCCTTTCATCGTGCCCTTTCTTTAAGCACAGTTCGTAAGTCAGATGATCTAGGCAACTCCGTGTGCCTAGATGACGTCTAGTGCGTGTGCGAGGGCCGATAGGTGCTTCCCTCAGTATATGACCTCTCAGTTCTCGTTCTCTCAGACCTGGAGTAACGAGTCCTGGAAGTCCTCGATTGAGTGTCGCTTGTTCTAAGGCTCTTACTTTCTGCTTGCGATGGTGTGGTACGCCTATCTCGATCCTCCGAGTGGCGAGGGGGCGTGTTGCCTTTGCGCCCCTCTCCTGTCGCCATCCATTTTCCTTTTATTTGGCGCTTCATCGACTTCATGTCTCTCTCAGACCTGGAGTAACGAGTCCTGGAAGTCCTCGATTGAGTGTCGCCTGTTCTAAGGCTCCTACTTTCTGCTTGCGATGGTGTGGTACACCTATCTCGATCCTCCGAGTGGCGAGGGGGCGTGTTGCCTTTGCGCCCCTCTCCTGTCGCCATCCATTTTCCTTTTATTTGGCGCTTCATCGACTTCATGTCTGCCCCCATCCTCCTTATTAACTCGTCCTGCTCCTTCACGTGATCCTCCAAAACTTGAGGGTCTATCCTCCGCCTCTGTCTTTCAAGACTTTGAGAGCGATGGGGGCTGTTAGCCGCCTTCCCCTTGCATCCCTTTGGGGGTTTTGTTGCTAGGGTTCTAAGTCCGCCATAGGAGGGATAGAAGGCAAACCTTCGCGCCTCCCACCCCCCTCCGGGGTTTGCCCATCAATAGCTGATTGCGACAAGTCTTCATTGTGCGCCATTGCTTCCAATTAGAAATGAAAACTTGATCAAGAGGTTTTGTTCTTTCTAGAATTCCCACAGACGGCGCCAATTGTACGAGCACAAAATAATGTTCTCGTCTAATCCTGTTGATCAAGTCTGCGCTCCTCCAAACGTCGTCGCTTTACTCCCTGAAAACACAAACGTGAGCTAGTCGGCGGGTGTGTGCCGGATACCTCTCCGATGCCTAAGTCAGCAAAATAGACAAATAGACATGTGTGAGTGAATTTCTAACCACACTGCTAACTAAGTATTCAGCTGGAGAGCACTGGCAGAACAGACGGCACTTGTCTGACCTGCAACAGAAAAAGAAGATTCCGGCGGTGGTTCGTCCACCCGGGGGAACTCCGACGATCAAGTCAATATCTCTCTCAAATATAATCAATAGTTCTAAACTCACTGTTCAGAATGTAAATTGCATACCTTAGACCCATGGGGGTGCCTCTCTTTTATAGTTTACACAATCCTAGCCCCAATAGAAGCCTAGCTTCAATAGATTTTAGCTCAATGCTCATCTTGGACTCTCCAATGGATAAAGATAAAACTCCCTAAGAGCTTTATCCTTATTCAGTTTGAGTTCTTTCTTCATTCTAGGACTCTTGTTCCTTATCCGCTTATCCCGGATTCCGATATCTTCGGAGGTAACCTCAGCCTAGCTGAGATCACCTCGGCGTCACGGACAGGGCACGTGGCACCTCGGCTGACACGTCGGTGTCACCTTGGATACGTGTTGGTTCTCAGAAAATATATCCCTACAAGACAAAAGCTCTGTGTATTCCGAAAGTCAAAGTTGTGTTACCTGTACATAGGTTATGTTGTGAGCTTTTATAGGTTCCACGTGGCACAATCCTAGTAGGACTTTTATTCCTCCATGTAGAGTCCTCTTAGGAATCACAGTCCTGAAAGATAATATTTATCCTCCAACACCCGCCTCACTGTTTAAACCAAGTGAGATGGTTTTACCTCGGTGGGATGACACTATAACCGAGCTAACAATATCTCTTTGTCATACTCAATCCAGCACCTTCACATGCAACACATAGCTCGGCTTTTGTTCACTTGTACCTCGGTTTTCTCTATTAGACCGAGCTAACTGCAGCAAGTCTTGACCGAGCTAAAAAGGGCAAGGTCCACCTTAAGAAGCCCAAACACCTCGGTTCTGAATACTATGACCGAGCTAATTATCACCACTCCGATCGTGGTAACTGTTACCATACTTGGACCAAGCTAACTACAAAGTCCTCTTCACTAAGCCCTTTTTCACCACGGCCCATAGAACGGCCCATTATTATACCTTGGCCTAGCTCGGCCCTAATGCACATAAAAACTCCCTCTCAGAACTGGTGCTAATATAGAGGATATGCTAGCTGATTGTCATATATTTGCTCTGTATTTTCTCAACTGTTGTTTTGTTCATACTAGAGGATCTTGTAAAATAGATGGCCCATGATCATGAAGTAGTCAGGTTTGCTCTATCTATGAATGTAATTTCTATGGTTGATATGGCATGTATCCAGACTGATCTTAGGCTGGTTTGACCTTCATCTAGTGTTTCAATAAAATTTTCTTTGGTTGACAAAAAAAAAAAAAAAAAAAACTTTGGTTGACAGAAAAAAAAAGAATGAGATCAGAGGATGCATTCTTTCTTGCAGCTGTTTATTATGATTTTAATCCTTTTTAATGAAAAGTTTGACGAAAGTGTATGCAAATTACATAGCCAAAGCTAATCAAAATTGGAATCTGAACATTTTGCTTATTAATCTGGAGATATATGTAGATTAAAAGAAAAAGAAAAAGTAAAAAAAAAAGGAGCTTTGCATCTAACCTAGGATTATCAAATGGACCCTTGAAAGTGCAATTCAATTTGAAGAAAATAAAATGCGAGAAGGAAAAACCAGCATGGTATAAACAAAATTCTTTGTTCAAACTATTTGCATAGCTAATCACACTGTTTGCTGTAAATTGCCAACCATTCAAGGTTTTGTGATAATACATGATACCTCTACTGCATAACTTTCACAAAACCAATCATCAGTAGTAAATAATTTACTAACTAGTTACCTCTTTAAAGTATGTTCAACATTTATTCTAATCTGTAGGTGAAGTTATCAACTGCTACATTGAAAGAAAATTATGTTGATGAATTTCTGATTGTGGCATTTACATATTGATCACAGACCTACTTAACTTAACATGGGGTTTAACTTCTATCACCATCTTATCTTTTCCATTCACATGTTAGCTTTGGCATTAGTTAGGTAATAAATTAGGATGAAAATTTTGCTTATTACATGACAATTCCCACTGTGAATTGCTACATACCCATAAAAATTATGACAGCAGGTCTCAACAATAAAAATAAAAATTAAGGACTTAAAAATAAAAGCTTTATTGAAATAGAATTGGACTTGTAGAGAAACCTTGCCCCTTTCAACTAGCATTAAATAAGTACTTTCATGTTTTATTCATCATTAGTAATGTAATGTTCCTTTTTTTGATAGCTTGTAATGTAATGTTCCTATTCGTTAGTATTGTCATGTTTTAATTTTATAAGCTTATGTATGCTTATGTTCAAATCAATTCCAGGTGAACGGAATTGAAGGCAATGCTGTTTGGGAGGTTCTTGTCACTGCAGGTATAAATTCTATGCACAGGACTGGTGTTGACACACAGGTGGTGGTAGATGATTGTCATATATTCACTTGATATTTTCTCAACTCTTGCTGTGTTATCTTGCAGCACATGGCTCTTCATTTTAACTTCATCTAGTTTTTCAATAAATTTTTCTTTTGGTGACAAAAAAATGAATGATATTAGGGATTCATTATTTCCCGTTGCTTCCATTGCTTTAATCAGCTTCATACAATGCTTTTAATCCCTTTTTGAAACTTATGAAACCATTATGAAAAGTTTGAGAGAAGTTTACACATTGATTAGTTAGAGTTAACAAAAATTCAAATTCGGGCATTTCGCTTATTAATCTGCAGATGTACTTATGTTAGATAAAAAATAAGAAAAAAGACTGAACAAGGAAAAGAAGCTAAATTTCTAATCTAGGAATTATTGAATGAAGCCTTGAAAATGCAACTCTATTTGAAGAAACTACAATAAGAAAGGAAGAAACCAGCCTCGGTTGTATTAAAATTCTTCATAAGACACCCATACCCAATTTAAACACTGATCTTTTAATTTTATATGATGGGTGAAGAAAAGATGCTCACTCTTGTTAGAATTGGAGAGGAAACTTGCCCTTATTGCGTGGTATTGAATAAGTACTAACACATTAGTATTGTCATGTTTTTATTCATTAGTAGTACTGTCATGTTCCTATTCATTAGTAGTGTCATGTTTGAATTTTATATGTTCATGTTATGTCAAAATCAACTCCAGAAGAAAATTTGAAAAGCGAGATATGGTTTGATAGCTTAAATCAAGTAATAGTTCAAAGAGTTTGTAATCAAGAATTCATTTCTTCTAGTTGCATATCAAATTTGTTAAATCAGTGCAGCTGTATACTATGATTTTATTCCTTTTTATTTATTTATTTATTTTTTAACTTAGGAGTTCATGTTCAAAATCCAGATTGGGGAATTTCATTTACCAAACAGCTAATTTGTTGCAGGATGATGATATCGTCTTACTTCTATGCTGCTTCTTCAACCTTGATGACAGAGGCAAAGAGCTTGTCTGGAAGCTCTTAGATGGTTCAAGCATATATCAATGGATATCTGTGTGGTGTTCACTTGTTGACACATATAGTTCTAATTTAATTTGGTGAAGTTACTTTGGCTGGAGACTTATGTGGACTTTAATTTGTATGGTTTATTGGAAGACATTAAAACTATATTTAATTTGTTTGCTTGTTTAAGTTCTTATTTTGTTGTTACTAAAGCTACTTGGTAGGCTGTTCATGCAGCTCATGTTCTACCTAATAAGTCTGTACTTGTTTGTCATGTACTTGTTTAGTTTTATATATTTATGGGTAAAATTGTATTTGTGGTCTCTATAATTTGCTTTTGGAATCAATTTGGTCCATGTAATTTCAACTCTATCAATTTTGCCTTTTAGTTTTCATATGGTGTCAGTTTAATGCAATTGAACTCCTTAACAAATTTGACAGAAATGGAGAGCATACAAATGGTCCATTCAAAAGGGAATAAGTTATTTCAAATTAGACATTAATCCCTTAATCACTTTAAAAAAAGTGAATGTGCTATTTTGCCTATTGAATTTAGTCAAATTTCTATAGTGAATGTGCTATTTTGCCCATTGGATTTAGTCAACAGTTGAAATTTATGTAATATTGATTGTTATTGATTGTTGTACAGTTGACATTACAAGGCTTCCTATTATATAGGAGAGGATTTGGGAGTAGGTGAGTGTGTGTGGTAGGTGTAGGAAAGTAGGTGAAGTAGGTGAGTGTCCTCCTGTTGCCTTAAATTCTGTTCTTTCTTCAGATGTATCCCATTTGCCTGTTTAATGGGAGTTTGGGAGTTAAAAAAAAGAAAGACTAAATTACTCAGTGGTAAAATTTATGCAATTTAGAACTAGAAAAACCAAATTGACAGAAGAAATACATTTTGGGGACTACATGTGTCATTTGCCCTATAAACTGTTTTGTTTTGAAAAAAAAAATTAAAAATAAGTAGCCTAGAAAGTGCAACTCAATTTGAAGAAATTACAATGAGAGAAGGACGAACCAACATGGGTTAAACAAATATGATGTTAGCACCTTGTGCTGGGTTTTTTGTTTTGTTTTCTTTGTTTTTATTTCATTTTATTACCAAACATAAATATATATATATATATATATATTCATGAGAAGAAGTTTTCAGGTGGAGAAATGTTTGAAGAAAAAGACACAATTATTTTTATTTTTTCTTGACCCAAGCCTTTCCCTAAACAATGTGTAAACACATAAAACCAAGAGTAATTAACACGTAAACAATGTGTAAACACATAAAACCAAGAGTAATTAACACGAAAAGAGCAAGACCCCCAATAAATTTTGGATTGAGATTCATCTCTACCCTCCAAGAATTGAAGATTGCCTATATGCCTAAAGCATTCAATGACAGGCTTCGAGTGGTCGATGGCCAAGAAGGAGAGGAACAGTAAAAATTTTAATATACCACAATTTTTGTATTTAATCTTTGATATTAAGATAAATTGACAAAGACAAGAAAATAGAAAAAATTTTTAGAAACAGAGTAGAGTGAAGATCGGTACTTCTTCCACCCATCTCTCTCCCTCTTTGTCTCTTTTTTTCCCTTCTACATATGCTCTACCTATGCCAATAACTTTTCCTCTCTTGAATATTCACATGCAAGCTGTTCTTCTGTTGGGAGCAGACTTGTTTCATATATATTTAAAAATTTATATCTACATCTCATTTATTTTCAGTTGCTTATTGCTCCCAAGTCCTATATTGGAGCTCACAATATATAATTGTATCTACACCACACAATATTTTTGTTGGTATTTTTTTGTCTAAATTTTTAGTCTCTAGCATTATTCTCAAGACATCTATTTATCTCTCTCTTATTCTTAATATTTATTTTTCACCATGGGGTGCTATATAGATGAAGTTATTAACTGCTAGAATGAAAGGGGGAAAACAAATTGTGTTGGTGAATTTCTTATTATGGAATTTACATACTGGTCACAGCCTGTTTTATTTAACATGGGATTTAACTTTTAAAACTACATCTTATCTTTTCCTTTTACATATCTCCGAAATTAGTTATGTAATAAATTAGGAAGAAAAAAATTATTTTTAGACACAAGTTATCCTCTGTGGATTGTTGCAGACCCATCAAAATCATGAAAACAGGTAATTGCTCTTAAAAAAATTATGTTAGTGAATTTCTGATTGTGATATTTACATAGTGATTACAGCCTACTTAACTTAACTTAATGTGGGGTTTAGGTTTAGCTTGTATCTCCATCTTATCTTTTCCTTTCACATCTTAGCTCTGGTATTAGTTAGCTAATAAATTAGGATGTAATTTTTTTATTACTACACGACAATTACCCACCATGAATAACCCATCAAAATCATGATAGCAGGTAATTTCTCTTTAAAAAAACTGAAGGACATAGAAATAAAAGCTAAAATTTATTGAACTAGAATTAGAATTGGAGAGAAACCTTGCCCCTTTCAACTGGCATTAAATAAGTACCAAGACAATAGTACTGTTATATTTTTATTCATCATTAGTAGTGTAATGTTCCTATTCATAAGTATTGTCATGTTTCAATTTTATATGCTTATGTATGCTTATGTTCAAATCAATTCCAGCTAAATGGAATTGAAGGCAATGCTGTTTGGGAGGTTCTTGTCACTGCAGGGTATGAATTCTATGAACAGGACTGGTGTTGACACAATGGTTGTGGTAGATGATTGCCATATATTTACTTGGTATTTTCTCAACTCTTGTTGTGTTTATACTAGAAGATCTTGCACCAGGCAGCTCTTGGTTATAATTCATATAGTTTTTCAATAAAATTTTCTTTTGGTGACAAAAAAAAGAAAAGAAAAAGGGATGAAATCAATGATTCAGTATTTGTCAATACTTATTGCATTGCTTTAATCAGCTTCATACAATGCTTTTAATCCCCTTTGAAACTTATGAAATCATTATGAAGAGTTTGAGAGAAGTGTACTCAATTGATTGGTTAGAGCTAATAATAATTCAAATCTGGGCATTTTGCTTATCAATCTGCATATGTTAGATAAAAGAGAAGAGAAAAAAAGCAGAACAAGGAATTATAGAATGGAGCCTAGAAAGCGCAAATCTATTTGAAGAAACTACAATAAGAAAAGAAAGAAACTAGCCTAGGTTATATAAAAATTATTTGTCCATGGACTTATGCTGATAATGAAAGAGGATGAAATCAGGAATTCATTCTTTCTTGTTGCATATCAAATTGGTTTAACCAATGCAGTTGTACGCTATTATTATTTTAATACCTTTTTACGTTTTCTTTTTGAAACTTAGTAATTGATAATGAAAAGTTTGATGGAAGTGTACCCAAATAAATATGATTAGGCCTAATCAAAATCTTAACCGGGGAATTTACTTACCAACCTGCTAATTTGTTGCAGGATGGATGACAGTGTCTTAGTGCCCTGTAATGAATTAAGTTGTTCATCCCTCTATGCTCCTCAGCCGTGATGGTTCAAGCATATTGGAGATATTTGAGGCGCACATGTTGACATATAGCTCTACTTTGTCTGGTTTAGTGCAAGACATTAAATTTGTATGTAATTCAATTGCTTGTTAGGTTTTCACTTTTGTGTTACTAAAGCTACTAAGTAGGCTGTTCATGTACCTCATGTTCTAGCTAAGAGCATCAACATCAAACTCGGTATGTCCTTTTGTTAGCTATTTGTGATGATCAAACTCACAAATGGCATAACTTGCATGTGGTACACATCATTTAGTATTTCCCAACCAAAACAAATAAAAAAATTATCTAGAAAAATAATTTGTAGTCCAAATTTAATTCTTATAGTGGAGCCCACATTTAGAATGTACCTATACCTCCACATTATTTTTGTTCATATTTTTTCATGCCTGTATTTTTGGTTCCTAGTAGTACTTTGGGAACATCTATTTATCTCTCTTTTGCTAATTAAATTTATTTCTCACCATGGAGTGCTATATAAATGAAGTTATCAATGGCTACATTGAAAGGAAAAAAAATTGGGTTGGTGAATTTCTCATTCTGTCATTTACATATTGATCACAAACCTACTTTATTTAACTTTTAAATTACATCTTATCCTTTCCTTTTACATAGCTCTGGAATTAGTTATGTAATAAATTAGGAAGAAATTTTTTATTTTTACACAGCAATCACCCTCTGTGAATTGTTGCAGGCCCATCAAAATCATGAAAGTAGGTAATTACTCTTAAAAAAAATTAAGAAAATTTTTCTCTTAGAAAATAAAACAAAAGAGATAGTGAACTACACTTAGAATTTTTATTGATCATTACAAATGTCATGTTCATATTCATTAGTACTGTCATGTTTCAATTTGATGTGCTTATGCTATGTTCAAATCAGTTCCAGAAGACCATAAAGATGAAGAAGAAGATGAAGACGACGAAGATGAAGAAGATAATCGAAGGCATTGTTGTTATGGAGGCTCTTGTCTCCGTTGAAGCTGAAGGGTTCCGGTAGTTATTCTTGATAGTGACGCTCGACCAGTTGTTTATGAGTTAAATTTATGCATAGAACTGACGTTGCAGCAGAGGTTATGCTAGCTGATTGTCATCTTTGCTCTATCTTTTCGTAACTCTTCTTTTGCTTATACTAGAGGATCTTGTAACAGGTGGCTCATGATCATGAAGTAGCAAGGTTTGCTCTATTTATGAATGTGTATCTACATACACTGATCTTAGGCTGGTTTGACCTTTATCTAGTTTTTCAATAAAATTTTCTTCAGTAGAAAAAAAAGAAAAAAAAATGAATGAAATCAGGGAATCCAAAGTTTGAAAAGTTTGACAAAAGTGACATGGTTAGAGCTAATAAAAACTGGAATCCAAACATTTTTCTTATTAATCTGGAGAGGAAACTTGGCCCTATTGAGTGGTATTGAATAAGTACTAACACATTAGTATTGCCATGATTTAATTAATTAGTACTGTCATATTTTTTATTCATCAGTAGTGTCATGTTTCAATTTTATACATTTGTGTTATGCTCAATTCAATTCAAGAAGAAAATTGAAAAGCAAGATATGATTTGATAGCTTAAATTTAAGTAATAGTTCCAAGAGGATGAAATTTGGAATTCATTCTTTCTCATTGAATATCAAATTGGTTTAATCAATGCAGTTGTAGCTGCATACCATGATTTAATCCTTCTTTTTTTTTTTTTTTTACCCAAATGAATATGATTAGGCCTAATCAAAATCCAAATCTGGGAATTTCATTTACCAATGTGCTAATTTGTTTCAGGATGATGAGAAGGTCTTAGTGCCCTGCAATGAATTAAGCTGCTAGTTCCTCTTATTTTATTTGTTCTAATCCTTTTTGTGGT